CACTCTAGAGGATCCCCTCCTCAAGGGAAGGGCCGGTAATGGGGCTTACGCCGTATGGCCCACACCGACCCGCCGAGAACGGTTAGGACTCTTACCGATATAACGGCCCCCCAATGAGGAGAGTGCTTCGGGGCGGTTGTTCCTTTCCGTTGGGGTGTACGGTACGGTTAGGTGGCCCCCCTGGCCACTGTCAGGCGTCAGGATCGATATGTAACACACGCATGCAAGCACACACAAACACACACACACACACTCTCTCTCTACCCACCCACCCCCACCTCCTACCCACCACGGCCGGGTCCTCCTCCTCGTCCAGTAGCTCCTCCCTCCGAACGCCACCACCACTACTACCACCGCCACCGCCACCCTTCTGCTGCCGCTGCCGCGGCTGAGGGGCGCTAGCAGGACTCCGCTGCCCCGCCGCTGACGCCGCCGCCGCTGTCCTTCCGTCACGCCCGAACCCCCCACCCGCTGACGGCTGGCTGGCGACAGGGGAGATCTTGCCCGTAGCGGAAGCAAGGGCGGGGGACCCATGAGGACCCCGTACCAGTACGGCAGATCCGGATCCAGCGACAGGAGACGTGGTCGAGGAGCGGTCCGAGAGTTCACCCGCCGAGCGCGATGGAGATCGCGGTGGCGGAGCGCAAGGGTACGACATGACGTCAGCAGTGGCGGCCGCGGCCGCACCCGTTACTTGTTGTACGGCAGGTGCCACGACGGCCTGCCGTCCTGGGGATGCGGCGGGCGTGAGGTGTACGGAGGATACGGAAGATGACCTGGACAAAGCAGCGGAAGCAGCGGCGGCGATGGCGGCGGGGCTGCCGCGCCGTGGGCTGCCGCCGGCGCTGCGTTCTCCAAGGCTGCTGTTAGATGCCAACGGGGAGTTCCCTGTCGCCGCCGCTGCCGCCAACGTCACCGCCGACACCGACGCCGACGGTGACGGCGGCGAGAGCATAAGATAGGCCCGGAGCCCCTCCCTCACCGCCAGAGACTCGCGGGGCCCCGCGCCGCCGCCGTCGCCAGTTCCTGTCGCGGCTTCTGACCAATCTTCTGACGCCGACGCCACGACGGCCAAAGGCGCCTGCGTCGGCGTGGGGCCATACAAACATTGCAGGGGGGTTGTCGTACGACTAGCCCCGGTCATGCGGCTGGGTAACGACGGCGACGCGGCATCAGTGTGCGCGTGGCCTATTCCCCGTGTGTTTCGCCCCGGCGAACCCCTCGGGGAACGACACGCGGGAGCCGACACGCCGCGACCCGGAGATACCAGCTCGCCGCCAGCGCCAGCGCCAACGCCAACGCCGCTCACGACGTCGTCGCCGGCAGCGGCGGCGGAGGGGGCGGAGAGGCTCTTGGCGCTGTAGACCTTCTCCAGCCAGCCCTGCCGCCCCGGGGAGGATGACGGCGAGCTGGCGGCGGCGGCGGCGGCGGCGGTGGCGTCGCTGCGCTGGGGACTGGGGACACTTTCCCCCGGGGAGGCGGCGGCGGCGGCGGCGGCCACGGCGGCGGATTCTTCACGTCCGGGGAAGAGCGTCAAGCTCTGTCTTGGACTGCTGCAGGGGCCGGGGCTGGGGCACCGGTCGATGCCGCCGACAACGCCGCTGCAGAAGAGCTTTAGGCTGCCGGCCGCGGGGCCGAGGCTGGAGCTGGGGCTTCGGAGCGGACTATGTACGGGACTGGGGATACGGTTGGCTCCGTCCGCGGCGGCAGCAAGGCAAAGCTTGGGGCTGCCGAGGGCAGGGGCAGGTTCCAAGCCTTGGGCTGCAGGGCGGTGGGGGCTGGAGGGTGCGCTTGGCTGGCCGGGGCGGGAGGCTCGGGGGGGAGCCGGGCTGGAGGGGGCTGTGGGTGTGGGGCTGGGACACGCGTCGAGCGCGGCTACCATTGCGCGTAGATCTGCTGCGGTGGTGGAGGGCGGGCCTGGCGTGGGAATGGCGGGGGAGGTGAGGGGAGGTGTTGCGGAGTCTGGCTGCTGGGGCAGCACCAGCGGGCCTGGCAGCTGCAGGGCATTAGCATTGGAGGAGGTCTTGGTGAGGCTGTACTGGCCGGCCCCGACCATGGCGCCGCGTTCCATGAATTCTGTGCTGGCGCTCAAGGTGGCCACCGTTGAGCGGGGACGTAAAGCTGACCTGGGCCGCATAGCTGAGGTAGGCCGTCCCTCCATGGTTTCGCGCTCAAAGCTGTGAGCTGCCGCGTCGCACAAGAAGTGATGCTGCTTGCGGACCCACCTTGCCGACGGGACGGCAAAGCTATGTCAGACCAGAGTCACAACTAGGAATAAGCTTTATGTATGCAAACTATTTTGGGTAAGTTGGAGGTCTGCGAATCAGCACGGTCGGACGTTTTCTCGTCCGCGCGTTCCTTCCCCGCAGGAACGCCAGGTAAGTTATCTTATGAAATCATCATTGTAAACACTATATCCTTTCCTTACAAACGCAGGGTGGCGTGTAGGCAAGGAATGCGTGAGACTGAAACATTTGTAGCATCGAAGGATGAACCAGATCACACAACTAGCCTATTGTACCTAAGCCATCCGTAACGATTAGCATGGTGGTGTAATTTGAGAAACATGTGCATGAGGTAACGGTTAAGCGGTCTGCTCCAAGCCCCAACTGCGAGTACGGTTAGGCGGTGACGCATACCTAGGGATTATCCTTCCGAGATTGCCGAGATTGTATGGGAGAAGTATCGGTCTGTGATTTGCGGTCAAATTTTGATGCTCTTCTTAGCTTTCTTTCCGTTCCGAATGGATGTGATTGTCTACGAGCGCACACACGTCACCGCATCTAGTGAAGAGGCAGACCATAGGTGTCGCAAAATCTCAACATCTGCCTAATTCAAGGCCAGTGGCTGCTGCTGGAAACGGTGGAATGCCGTTGAGAGGGGCCGACCCGAGGGACGCTAGGCGGCGGGGCGGCGGCCCCTAAATTTTGCGCCACCTCCGTGTGGGTCGGAAACCGAGAGGCACCATGTTTGGAGGCATGGGCATGGCCGAGTCCCCAGCTGCTACCGGCAGGACGCAACATTTCCACAAGGTCTGGAACTTTCACCGCTTCGCCAGCGGGAAACCAACGCGTTCGGGGCATCTCGGCTTGGGGAAAGCGGGGGAGAGCTGAAACCTCAACACATACCTGCGCCCGACTTCCCTTGGATCCATTCCCAAATGTTGCCCATGCGATCACCTTGGTACAGATCTTGTCGTCCTATTGCCACGCCTGAAACGCCGCTCCTTTTTGCATCACACAAGCACGTGCCAGCGAGAACAGCAGGCGAAAGCTTCGCATACGCACGTTTTCGAAATCAACTGGCGTGCTGGGGCCCCGTTGGCGCACAGGTTTGGAACTCTATTTTGCTGTCCTGGTTCTGTTGCTTCGCCACAGGGGCTAGAAACTGCATGCGCTTCGAGATCATCATCTTCATCACCATCATCATCACATCAGGCTAAAATTCAAACTAAACTTCAAAGACAAAAAGATTTTCGTTTGGATTTACACAACTTGATGTCTGTTCCTTTTATCTCTATCTGTTGGATTTGGCGATCAATTCTTAACGCCAGGTGGCAGCTATCTCCTTATACTTCTCTCCTTTGCTCGTTTTGAAGTCGGGGCCAACACAACGTGCGCACAATCCTCCATTAAGCACCACGGGCTTGCACACACCCTGCTTCGTTTTTCCTAATCGGCCGCTCCAGCCCGCTGCGTGTGGCGGTCTCAGTCCTGGGAAGATAGGCATGTTCCACTGCGGCATATTATCTTTTTTCCCGCACATCAATACGCCGATTTCATCTCTTTGGCAGACGCAATGCTGCCGGTATATTGGAAGTAACCCGTGTGATTATGTGTATGTTGGGCGCGCGTGCGCGCGTAGGGTGTGTTTATGTGCATGTGTATTCCTATGTGCGCATTCCAACACGCCTCCCCGCCACACGCTCGCGTTTCCCCTTCATTTCCCCTCCTCCCC